CCCCCCCCCCCTTTAGTTTTGTATACTTCTGAAAGGAACATTGCATTTGCTTGTTCATTTCTTCGAACAGAATCTCCTCCTTTCCACAAACGGTGACAACAGTGTCTTGAAGATTGCCGATTTTGGCTTTGCGAGGTATGGCTACTCGTTTATGAAATAATAATTGCCTTTTTGCCTACACACCCAGTCTAGGCTTACACTGGGTTTGCTCATTTTTTTCACTTTTGCAGGCATTCATATTTCTCGGCTTATTATTGACCATTTGTTCTGATGTGCCACCACACTATTTGCACAATTTTTCTTTTTTTCCAAATTTATTTTCTTATCAGTTAATCTGCTGTTTAGATTGTGTTCAAGGGTCCGATTGTTATATGGACATAAGTTTGTGTATGGTTCTGAAAGATTTATTAGTTCTTTCAAAGTCCAAACCCATAGATTAACAAAAGTTGTGAATATGAACAGATATTGCTCTGCATAGCCTGAATTTCTTTGTTTAAGTAAATGTGAATTAAGGCCTATATGAAGCTTGGGATTTGCAGTTCACGTATTATTTTCCCCTCTCTGCTTAGATCTCTACAACCTAGAGGCCTTGCCGAAACTTTATGTGGTTCACCTCTTTACATGGCTCCAGAAATAATGCAGCTCCAAAAATATGATGCTAAGGTGAGATTAGATTCACTTTTTCGTTACAAAGCAGACATTTTTATGCGAATCGTGTATTCATATATCGCATTTTAAGCAGGCAGATCTCTGGAGTGTTGGTGCCATTCTTTTTCAACTTGTAACTGGAAAAACCCCATTTACTGGAAATAATCAGATAGAGGTATGTTAAAGTTAAACCTACTACTTTTTGCTTCTAATACTTACCCTGTCCGTTTTTTCTTATCTTTGCTGACGTTTCAAATGCTGTTTACAGCTGCTCCAAAACATCATAAAATCGACTGAATTGCAATTTCCCCCAAGAGCAGTGGATTTGAACCCTTTTTGCAAGGATTTATGTAGGAAATTACTGCGTCGTAATCCAGGTATTTAGAACATAAAATTTTGGTCGTTACACTTGGCTCGAGTAATTTTTGCTGTTTACTAGAAAAATCAAGATTGTTTGATGAAGTTTCATATCTAACAGCATAATTTACGATTTGTTTTTATCATTTTGTGTCGAAAACTTTTTTCATCACAGTGGAGCGGCTGACATTCGAAGAATTTTTTAACCATCCGTATCTGTCACATGAGCAGCCCGATGAGTTCCTTGGGTAAATGTGATAAACATTGTTAACATTATATTTGTAAATTTATATATAAGCCCATTATATAGATACCTGGGTTTTATGAGTTTCTTGTTTTTACAGAAATAATCAGTCTGAAAGAACGTCCGATGGATTTTCTCTTTCCACAAGGAATAATATGGATCAATCTTCGCAAGAAGACTGCTTGCCGTTCAGTCTGGATGACGATTCGAGTGGCCCAGATGGCAGTCCCTCTTACCAAACGAAGCCCACCATGAAATCACTTTATGGATTTTCTCCCAAAACAAAGCACGAAAAAACAAAGGTTGTATCTAACATTGGAAACAAAACGGACCCTTCAACATATAGTGGAATTTTAAAACCGCGTTTTTCTGAAGGAATCCTCGTGGAAGAGTCTCTTAAAACCGCTAAGAGCTCGGTAATACTAGAAGCTAATCCAAAAGGTATATTTTTTTTTATTTATTATTTTTTATTCATGTTCTTAATTTCTCCTTCAGTGTTACTCTCTCTCTCTCTCTCTCTCTCTCTCTCTCTCTCTCTCTCTCTCTCTCTCTCTCTCTCTCTCTCTCATTCGCATATATGCATGATATGTTTAGTTACAGACTCGCTCGAGTCGATTGACCAGGATTATGTAATTGTGACCGGTCCTCTGATGGACTTATCATCCTCGGCCAACGTGTCCAAAACCGGCACCAAACCTCTTTATTCCGAGAATGTGGGCCCCACAAGTGCTCCAGTGCCAATAGTTCGTGGGGCAAATGGTGGGCTCGAAAGTAGACTATCTGGCCCCGAGATTTCAGAAGGGTCAATAGATGTAATAACAGATGCTTTAGATCAACCGTCAACCGACCACACGACACGAATTATCTCCTTGCGGCAATATGCAGCCGCCATTACTGAACTAGTTAACGATAAGGTAACTTTATTAAGATTTAAGTTAAACAGTGAGAGTTAGGCTATGTTTGGTAAACCTAGCTGATAAGCTAGCTTGTAGCTATTAAGTGAATTGCGAGCTTATAACTGAAAAGATAGCTTATATGATAGAAGTTTTTGGTAAAATTAGCTGAACTAAAATTTCAATATGCTTATTTGGAAAGCTACTCAAGGAAACAAGATAAACTCGAGTTTTTTTAAAAAGCTCGTCCTCCCAGACCAAACTTATTTGAATACAGAAAACTTATAAGCTAATAAAAAAAGTTATAAGCTAGCCTATATGCTTATTGAACACAACCTTATTCGAAGAACGAAGTCCAAAATTTTTAACTTTTTTTTAACAATAAAAATTATGAAAATCGACATGTGTCTTTATCTATAGATGGATGGAGGAAAAGAGCTCGAAGCCTTTTCGGTTCAGCTTGTGATTCTTGCTATTTGGAAGCAAGCGTTGCATATTTGTCATACTCATGCAGCTTCGGCTCCCGGCCGGGAGACTACAGATATTCAAGAGTCCCTTGATAATACGACTAAGGCACAAGGGCCACATGATATTTGTTCCGAGATAGAGGGAGCATTTCTTCACGAGTTCGAGCGAGCTGAGGAACTTGCTAAACTAGTGGACCATGGTTTGATACGACAGCTTTTTTTCCCCGTATTACATCATGTATA